CCGCCCCCGCTACCCTATTTCCCCACGCCCCCTCCTCCCCACCTTCTTAGCCTCCCCACCCCCACCCCGAGATCCCTGTCCTCCATTTTGGTACTCGCAGAGGCCTGGAGATGGATCTGCAGCGAAAATGGTGTGCTTTGCGGGAGGAGGGGCTCGGGCTGGGGGCCCTGAGAGGTTACCTGGGGCCTCTCAGATGGGAAAAATGACATTTTTAAAACTACTTTGAAATCCAGAGCTCTGAATTTTTAAAGGTGCGCAGTAGGGTTTCTGTCCTCGGTGCTGATTCGTCTACCAAAAATTCAGTCCCTTCTCTTTCTTGCCTCCTAGGAGTAATGGAGTCCAAAGAGGAACAAGTGGTCAAAGATCTAAATGCGGAAAATGCCCAAGAAGAAAACGAAGGAGGGGAGCAGGCACCCTTGCAGAATGAAGAGGAATCCCACCATCTGGGAAGGGGTGAAGGGCAGAAACCTGGAGGAAATATCAGAAGGGGGCGGGTTAGGCGACTTGTCCCAAATTTTCGTTGGGCCATACCTAACAGGCATATTGATCACAATGAAGCTGGAAATGACGTAGAAAGGTTTGTAGGGCAGATGATGCAAATCAAGAGAAAGACTAGGGAGCAGCAGATGAAGCACTATATGCCTTTCCAAACTCCCGAACCTGACAATCATTATGATTTTTGCCTCATACCTTGAATCTTAAAGTTTTCCCTGAGGTTAATTATGTGGCCATTGCTTTACAAGCTTGTATTTTTGTGACTTACTTTTTCTGAAAATCTTTTGATGTTTCTACTTACAGTTTTTAATTGAATATTGGTTTGTCTCAATCTATAAGTTTCTATCAGCATGGCAATTTCACCCATTTAAGGAAAGGATATTTTTTTCATAACGTGAAATTAATAAAGCAGTTTAAAAAGCAGTCTCTATATTCTACCATCTTCCTTTTCCATCCTAGTCCTTATTTATTGTTAATATTACCTTTCCTCTCCCTGCTGCCTGGACTCAAGTTCTCAGTTATCTTTGACATTTTTTTCTTGTCCCCAACGATTCTGCAATTCAATGTCTGCTATCATTTAAAAAATGTGTATCCTAAGGGTTTTTCAAAGACTGTGGATCTGTCATCTGTATAAAAACACTTTGTGGGGAATGGGGTTTCAGAATGTAGGACCTCTGTCCTCTGTCCTTCACATCCACGAGTGGGGCTCCAAAATCTCCATTTTAACAATCTCCCTAAATAATGTTGATGTATGCCAAAACCTGAGTGCCACTGGTGTATGTGTATGTATCTATATGCATATGTATGTGTATATCATGTGTCATATTAAGTGTAAACAATAAAGAAAAAATAACAGGATGAATATTTATCTGAATTCAGTGGGCAAACTATTAAAAAGGAGAAGCACAGGACCTTAAAGTAAACTATTGTAAGACTGATAGAGGCAGTGGGAAACAGGAGAGTATTCACTGTGCAGAATAAACAAAGCATGCCTGAGGGACCCATGGTTCATTGCCCCTGCCAGCAGATTCACATCCAGGATCTCATTTTATCCTTGCCACAACCTGTTAGGTCTGTACTTTTAATCCTGCCTTTACATGTGAGGGCATTGGGGCTACTTACAGGTGCTAAGTACCAAGGCTAACTCCTGCTGAATATCTGGGGAGGAGGCAGGGTGAGAAGATCTGGCCTGGACCATGTTCTATAGGATCTTGTCACCTGAAGATGCAGAATATTTGACTTTTGTAGTTTGATGACAATATGAGGAAGGTCAAAGAGAGACAACAATGAGATTGTCTTTCTATATCTCCAATATAGACATTTAATTTCTAGTATACTGGGATATTTAAAAAAAAACAAAGACCATCCTGCTCAGTGTTCTTCAAAGTAAGGATTGCCACTGGTTATGGCTCTTTAAATCAGTTTTGTGGCTTACAGCAAGCAGTTTTAAAAAATAGAACAAACAGGCCGGGCTCGGTGTCTCAGCCTGTAACCCCTCGCCTTGGGAGGCTAAGGTGAGTGAATTGCCTGAGCCCACAGGTTCGAGACCCGCCTGGGCAACTTGGGAAGACCTCATCTCTACAATAAATCAAAAATGAGCCGAGGGTGGTAGCATGCACCTGTAGTTCCAGCTACTTGGAAGGCTGAGGCGGAAGGATCGCTGGAGCCCAGCAGGTCGAGGCCGCGGTGGCCGGGAGCGGCCACTGCACTCCAGTCTGGGCGGCAGAGTGAGACTCCAACTCAAAAAAAAAAAAAAAAATAGAACAAACATCACCCATAAGTACTGTTCAGAATTGTTTTGAGAAACTAATGTTCTATATGTAGGAAATTTTGTCACCTTAAGATGTATTTCCAACTATAGATCATAGTAAAAGAAAAATTGAAAGTCACTTCTTTGTTTCAAACTTGCTTTCATCGATGAAAAAAATGGTAAGAAAATGATTTTCCTAACATCTGCTTATTATAAGAGTGTTTTGCAAATTTTAGCCAAAAGTGTAGCAGAAAAACATTCAGGAAAGCTTCACCAGAGAGTCCTTCACCACAACTGCTCCTGCTAATTACTGTCATTTAGCAAGGGCGATTTTGCCAGAGTTTTGATGGGAAATCATTAAGCATCCACCTTACAGTCCTGATTTAGCTCCTCTTGACTTTTTTTGTTTCCTAATCTTAAAAAATATGTTAAAAGCACCCATTTTTAAAATTCCTTATGTAAAAAATACTGCATTCACATGGTTAAATTCCCAGGACCCTCGGTTCTTTAGGGATGGCTGGTGTTATCACGAAAAAGTATCTTGAACTTGATGGAGATTATGTTGAGAAATAAAGCTTATATTTTTATTTTTATATTTTAACTCCGTTTTTCGTGAACCTTTTTAGATCTTTTTATATGTATATAAAATGTCTAGTTTAGACGAATCTGTTAAGACAGAAAGTAGATTAGTGGTAGCTAGTGAATAAAGGGAGCAGGAATGAGGAATGACTACTAACAGGTATGGAATTTTTAGGGTAATGAAAATGTTCCAGAGTTAGATAGTGGTGATGGTCGTACATCCTTGTGAATATACCAAAAATCACCCAATTATATACTTTCAAAGGTATGTATTGTATGTGAGTTACATCTCCAGAAAGTGTTGATAAAAACAACATGTTATAAAGAATAACATCAATAGCCAGACAGGACAATTTACTATAAATAAAACAGTTTAGTTATCTCCCAGCAATACAAAATATAAGTAGCATGAAAAGTATAGATATATTTAGATGTAAGATGTCTTTTAGTATATGATGTTTAGACATCAGATCAAAAAAGAAAAACTATGCCATTCAACAAATTTATTTTTCCTTTACATTATGCCGACACAAACCAGCAATTATTGTGGCTCCCAGAACTAGGCTTCTTAGCCCAAGGGGGAAGTATTTTGTCTACAATATCTCTCCCTGCTAAGAGGTGTTGCTGAATGAATTCCCACCTACATATGACAGGGCATGGGTACCAAATTACAAAAGTTTGTAATAACCAGTTTCCTCATTTAAGAATTAGTAATATAAGCTAGCATCCCAGGTCTGCCATTTATTAGCTGTGTGATCTTGGAAATTTTTTCTGAGTCTCCATTTTCTCATATGTCAATCGGGACCAATGATATTTAGCAGTGGTTTCAGAGTCTTTGGGGAAGACTGCTTACTTGTGATGTTACGGCAAGGTCCTTTCTCAAGGAGTATAATTTTTAAACTGACTCAGGTCTTGAAATTAAGAAAGAACCTGGCCTATCTAGGGGCTCATATTAGGAATCCTCCATAATTGGGGGTTTTGGTAACTCAAATCAAGCAGGAAATTAGTGGGTTACCTATCCATTTCTCTCCTGGCAATTCATATGTGACAAAGCAGGCAAACTGCTATAAAATCACTTCCAAAATGTCAGAGGCCAAGCAAACTGAAATTTTAGTTTTCACTCAGATAACAGTTCGACGCAGGTGGAAGTGGTTGGGATCTGTCCCATGCAATCATTCAGAAAGCACGGTGGCAGGAAGCGCCATCATCTTCAGAACGTGAGGGGGAAAAAACTGTCTTGGGCGTTTACATCCAGCTGGAAGATAGAGAAAGAGAGAAGGCTCATGGGAGATAATGCTGGAGTTTTCATTTGGCTTAGGTTTGAAATTGGTAAATATAATTTCTCACATTCCAATGGCAGAAATCAGTCACCTGACTGCGATGCAGTCTGGGAAAAGCAGCTCATAAGTGTGAACCCCGGAAAAAAACAAAATAGAATTTGGTTAACAAGCATACTATCTCTGCCATATTATAGCAGGATCAGTTAGCTACTGACAAAATTTTCTTCAACTCAAACTATTCTTTCTACCGTGACATTCCCAATGCATATTAAGATAACGAGGACTTCCTTGTCTTTGGTGACGAAATTCAACTTCTTATTTTATCCTACCTGAGATCCTGGCATCACTACTGAAATCAAGGGTACATGTCAAGTTCTAGAATCACTCTCAGTGTCCTTTGCCTAACAAGAATTTTAAAAATATGCTTGCCTCCTCATTGCTCAATTTTTTGTTAGATATAACATCTTCTGGCCTTCTTTTTGAGCATGGTTAGGAAGTAGATACACTCATAATACATAATAAATACACTCCAACATTATCTTTTCCATGATTCTTTAGATTTTTGCCTTTACAGAATACTAAGAAATCTCTAATATGCCAACCTTGTTTAGTGTGACCCATCAGGAGGCCACATTTCAGTCAATCAGCTGAGCAATCAAACAGAATCCAGCCACATGGAATAATGCATTGAATTTAGAATCTCTGCTGTGTGCACTAATATTGATGAACTAATCTGGGTTTATTAACTTGACAAATTATTATTAGGCATCTATGATGTCCCCAGTGATGTCGTAGGTATTGGGGATTATAGCACTAAACAAAACAAACAAAAAAAACCTCGAGTCTTCTTGGAACTTGAATTCTTATTGAAGAAACAAGAGAAGGTTCATGAGGAAACATCTGAAGGAGGTAAGGAAGTGATACAGGTAAATATATGAGAAAGAGTTTTCCAGCCAGAGGGAATAATAAATGTAGTGACTCTGAGTTGAAAGCATGCCTGACAAAGTAACTAAAATTATGTTCCTTTCTACCTTTATCTAATATTCTCAGAACCTATTCTCACACACACATTCTCAAGATTGTTTCCAGAGTAGCAATTACACTAAATAAGCAGGATTTGTAGGGTACAATAATATAACAACATTTTTTCATTTCTGTTGTCTATACAAACCTGCTCTTTGGAACTAGTTTCACTCCTGTCCCTTGGGTGAAATCTAGGGTATGTCCCAAAACTTTTATGTTTGCTCTTATAAAGGTAAAAATTCTGTCAATTTTAGTAATAAAAGTTTCCATTCAATGAGGGCAGGAAGAAAGTGGGAAGAAATTAAAGTCTTATATAACTGATACTGTTATGGCCATTCAGCACTGGCACTTTCCAGGCTGAGAAGGCATTTAAAGTTGATTTCTTCTCTTATGTGATATTTTTAAGGGTGCTAAAAGAAGTCTTCCATTGTTGACGAGCTCTCATCTTCTGTTTTCTGGAAATGAGAGATATAAAACCCTGGATTAGTCACTTTTGACTCCTTCTTTAGCCTTTAAGCTTCCAGCAATATATCTTCATTAACGTTTCCTTGCTTCTCTAGAAGATCATCATGATCTAAATCTATGACATCTTCCAACTCTCTCCCATATGGCTCATGTCTTGTCTATGAGAACCACTCACACATCCTTGCCCAATATGACTTCCAATTCAAAGATTCTAAGCTCTCCCTAAACTTTATTCTGATGACAAAGTAGCTGGCCAGCCAGTCTCCTGCCTTCTAGATTTTTCAGGGATGAGTGGTTCAAATACCTACTATGTTACCAAGTTCCAAGAATTCT